ATGTTTTGTTTCTGTAAATTTGAGCATTGGGACTTTCAATAACAGTCATTGACTACCTTAATTGTGTAAAATCATTTAATCATTCATTTTAGTTGGCTCAAGATATGGTATCTTGTTGCACTCTGTCACCATCAATATATCTGTCCAATATTGTCACCTTCCTTAGTTGAAATCTTTTATTGGAATTGAGGAATTCGTCCAGTATATCAAAAACTTACCTTCGAGACAGAATAATCTGTCAACAGTGACTACTCCAGGCATTGCCCCGTCCCTCCTTCAAATCGGTAGTCATAGGTCCCATCCAGCTCAACTTTACCAGTCATTCCCTTATTTTCGAGAACCCTTTCTGTGGTCAACCCAGAGGGAGCTTCTATTGGGTTCAAAGCTGTTTCCCGACAAAAATACTCGCCTTTTTCTTAGTGATATGTCGATGAAGTCGTGTTCAGCGGAAGAAATAATATTTTACCAACAAACTCGCGGGGTCAATGTCACATTTGCTCGCCTCCTTTGGAGCACCTGAAGCCTCTGTTAAGGTCCATTACACTCACATGTTCATTCTGAGGATGGTCCATCTTCCCTTATAGATCATATTATCATCAACTCTACAAAATAAGACCTCTTGAGTGAATGAACCATTTTTGATGGCGATTATCTTGACGTGTCAAACCATAGACCGTCGGTATATACATTGTATGTAAACTGGTTTTCCTTGATCGGCTTTTGCGATAAACACACGCATTTCGTTTTAGTGGATCGCCACAGGAGCCTCGAAAATGTTGACAACTACCGAGACGATCTTGTTTCACGTATATCAACGGTTCGTCTCTGGATACCTTCCTGGATCTTGATACTAAAGATGAAGTTGATTAATGCACACGCAAGCTTGAGTGTTTATTGAAATTATCAGAACACATCTTGCCGAAATGTAAAATTTTGCTTATTTCTAAAACCGTGTTGGAGCGAACAAACTCAAAGATTCCCATCGGGACATGTGGTGATGCCGTCAGCTTTGGGTCTCTCAAGGTCGACCGCGTGCCACAAACTCAGTCACATTTCGAAACTACAAGCATGCTAAACGCGTATTTGGGAACACACGTAGACAGGTGTCAGGGGATCACAATGTAGACTTAAACAACGAATTTGAAAGCTGTGTTGATGTTAATCAAAAGACGTTCTGGTTTCTTGTTAGAAAACGTCGTACTAACACTTCGGGGTTTTTGGCGCTGAAATAAAATCTTATAGTGCAGTTATCAGAGACCCTGTTCGCCTATTTGTACACTTTATAAAGGTCACAACAAACCGAAGTGTGTGTGATCCCAATATGTATTGTTCCATTTCCTTATTACCGTACTACTTCGCGTGTTGCTGCTTTGTGAAGACTAGATTAACGGTTTACTGCAGATATTTTTCATGCCCATTTTGGAATTCGTTAAGGTGGAAAAGGTTTTCTTACCAGATGTTTGGAATATTTTTCAAAAATATGACTTACTCGATATATTGTTGGCCTTTTACAAGAAGGATCTTCTCCTCTTTAACAATCCTGGAAACGTCTAATCAAGGGCGTTCTATTTTGTAAATCCTTCTCAGCAGAGCCTTTCTTGATTTACGTATCTGGGATATGATATCAGTTCTTCGATTATTTTGAACTGATCAAACGTTTTTCCTATTTTAGTAGAACATGCGTTAATATTGCAAAACAGTTGATTATTTCTCCCGATTGTGAATTAGCATGCGCACAATACAACCTGCTTGTAGCCGATACAGCTGCACATTATATCTTGGACTTCTCTGGCGAAGAAGTGTTAGCGTTACGCAATAACGCCTTCTCCAAAACTATCAACCGAGCGACTACCTTGTTCATGTTTACGTTGCACTGGACCAGGCGAGTGTTGACATTCGAATAGGCACGCTCCTTGGCTCTCCACCTGGTCTTATTCGAGCTATTTTTCTGGGAAACGATGATATGTTCTCGTCTTATGTACGAGACTGCTGTATTTTAGCAGAGAAGGTTTCTGCTGTTACCGTCCAATTAAATGTGTGGCCTTCCAATTATTTCTTGTATTATACTGGTTAAAAGCAATGTACATTATGTATTTGTTAAGGGTATAAGAGTTCATTATTTAACCACTTTCATATATATTTTTTCATTCAATGTACTTTTTTTTGTTACAAATTGTATTATTTTTGTATAGCTCTTCATGCTGGAGGAATAAAGATCTGATTGAAAGTTTAGAAAAAAATGAAATTATAAAACTATGAAATATATTACAGTAAAAAGGGAGAAATGGGCGACACAGGGGTAGTGAAATACACAATTTTGATAAAGCAACTTAGGACATTCCCATACATGAAAAGGGTTTTATTCTAGCATATCAAGGTCTTAGGTAGACAGTTAAAATCTTTGACTCCCACTACTTAAGTTTTTTTTTAGAATTTAGCTAATTTATTCCCTTTTAGGTCCTGCAAAGGGTCGTGTTAGGGGCTGAATGTTTATGATATCAAACTGCAATCACATAATGATTATTCCAGCCTTTGAACTGTTTCCCATAGGAAACAGCAAAATATGCCAAGAAGTGATATTTCCTTATATAAACTTCAGTAATGTTTACCCTCTCCAAGGGGAAAAGGTGATTCATAAAGCACTCTAAGACCTTTCTATTCATGAAGGATATTTGATTCCAGCATATCTCAGGGGAATGTGAACTGAGGTGAAAAAAATCACAAATTCAAAAAAGTACCTTAAAACCCTTCTCTCCATTTAGAGTATTTGATTCCAGCATATCTGGGTCTAAAGAAGAAGACTTTAGAAATTTTGACCATTTGACTCCATTTGACCTTGCCCCCAAGGCCCCTGTGTAGATCACAATTTTGGTTAGCCAAAAAATGTGAATTATTTACAGACGGACAACGCATGAATGTAGATTGTAATAGGTCATTTGAGACTTTGTCTCCCGAGACTTTAAATGTCAAACAAGACCTGTTTCCTTTTTTAACGATTTATTAATACTGTTCACTTGATAGTGTTTTAACATGTACTAGAGGCAATGAGGTTCCACACAAGTTTTCTGCAATATTGTTTCATACATGTAGCTAAGCTTAATCCTAATTAATTAAATCCATGATTATCACAACGCAGCAAACACACAGACGAGTCATGCTAGAAAAGGAGGCTTCAAAAACAGGAGAAAATGAACTGAATATCCTTTTCGCATCCGACAAATAAGGAACATTGTTTGAAATAATTTTGTGAATGAAGAAAAACCAAGACTTTATATGTATTTATTTTGCTGTAAATTCAGTTTTACTCTAAAACAATTAATTTGAAATTTGAATTTAATGAGAAAGTCTGAAATTTGAATTTTCAAAAATTAAGAAAAAAAAGTATCAATACAAACAAAAACATATTTCAGGAAACTCACTCTGAAACTTTATTTCAGGGCAATATTTGTACATCACTTCATTTTGGCTTTTCCCCCCAACGTGAAGCTCAACAAGAGGCCTAAAGGGTCTTAATCTCTCACCCGGACATTTAAGTAATCTCTCTATGCCAGGTGAGCTAAAAACAATAAAGTGACAACTCCAAATACAGGAACTAATTTTTACAGCATATTGTTTTTATTTTTTATTTTTTTATTTTAAGGAACAATAACAGTGTTTTAAAATTAAATCATACCGACTGATCAAGATAAATTTAAGGTCATAGAAAAATTTGTGCACTGTTTTGCATAAAAAAATTTCTGCATTTATGCAAAGTGCAGTTTTTCTGTATATACTACTGTAAACAGATTTTTAGCACAATAAAATATATAATTTAACAATTAAAGCATTGATGAATTGGGACAACCAAAATGTACCGCGGTATGCAATAAGCGATGATCTATCGAAACATCAATTAGCACTATCATAATTAAGCACAATAGTTAATGTGCCAAAAGTGCTAAAATAAGACTACCACTTAAATATGTACAGTTATATTATAAAACAAAACAAACCCCATTTCACTCAATCGCTCTTTCACATATTACCAACACCCAGGCAAGGCAAGAGGCATTCCTATCATAGAAACCTTTGCTTGATCAACACAAAATCTCATTAAACATTTTGTCATTAATAATTAAAAAAGAAATTAATGACTTAACTATATACAAAGACCCAATAAAATTAGGAATATTTCCTCAAATGTAATCAATGCAATACGTTTAAATAACTTAACAATTCTTCTTTGTTTTTCTAAGTTAGCCTTGAAATTCTGGGGGACTAACATACACACAAATAGTGGAATGAACTGTTAAAACCTCCAGAATACTGAGAACTTTTTGGCTTTCAAAGTTATGTCACAAAATGTAAGCAGTATTTTAAATTAAGCATTAAAAGGCTCAAAGGTGGCTAACATCACTTACCTGAAATAGGATCCAAGCACTGTGTAAGTATAGAAGACTTACAGCCACAGCAAAGCTCATGTTGGCCAACAAATGACTGAAGTTAGGAAGGCAGAGATAAGCACACTACATTTACATTGAGGCAACAGGTTAACTCATGTGAGCCAAGGTACCAGCTAACATTCTATGGAAATGGAGTCGGATACAGGTAAGCTTATATTGCAAAGTTTTTTTTGTTTTTGTTTTTTATTGCAGGGAGGGGTTAATGAAGATATTACGAAAAGGTAACATTCTTTGGTCATGGAGTGACAGGTGAGCTGATGTTAGCAAAGGTATGGTTCTAAATGACGTTGAACCACAGGTTTGGTTTGGTTTGGTTTAGTATTGTTTAGCGTCCTATCAACTGCTTTGGTCATTTAAGGACGGCCTCCCCTATGTGCAAAATGCAAGCGTGTAGTGTATGCGTGTGTGCTTTGGGAGGCTGCGATATGTTCGTGTTTGTCTCCTTGTGATAGTGCGGAACTGATGCCGACTTTATAGTGCTACCGCATTGAAACATACTACCGAAGACACCCAGCAGGCCATCCCATCTGGTCAGATTATACTGACAACAGGCGAACCAGTCGTCTCACTCCTAAATTGCTGAGTGTTAAGTTAAGCAGGAGTAGAAACTACCATTTTTACAGACTCGGGTATGTCTCAGCAAGGGGGCAGAACCCAAAGCCTTCCTAACAGGGGCGAACGCTCAACTAAAGGCCAAAGTGAGGCATATGTAAGCAAAGGAATGGTTCTTAATGACCTTGAACCACAGGTAAGTTTATATTAGCAAAGGTATGATTCTAAATGACCTGGAACCACAAGTGAGAGCATATAAGCAAAGGTCACAGATTACTTCATGTGAGCTAAATGTTAACATATAACAACAAAATATATCAAATTATTTATCTAAATGTAATACACTATTGTATTTCTCACACAAATGTACAAAAATATTTTAAAACAATTGGTTGACATTTGCAGTAATACTACATTTATTTACAGTTAAATCTTCCATAGATAATTGCTTTGCACTCATATTTACAACAGAAAATGTCATACATTATTTGATATAAGTTTCTACAAGAAGATTTCAACCATGTTTTAAGCATATGTTTAGCAACCCACAGCACTATGAGGATTGCATCGCTTCAAGAAGAAAACAAAGCCCCTGCTGTATAAAGCTTTTGTACCCAGTGATGAATTAAAACTATTGGTAAATCAATTGTGTTTAAGTGATTGTTTAAAAATATGAATATTTCCATAATTTTTCTTGCCACGTCGGAGGAGCGAAAGCGAGACTAAGGTGTTGCTTTTCCCACAACGGCGATGGCATCAAACATTGCGTTTAGCTCAACGTTAAGTTTTCGTTTTATGCTTCTTAATCAGTTAATAATGGCATTACGGTGTTGAAATTTTGCGTGAAGGTTCTTTTGGAGTCTACCTTTCATATAATGAAGTCAAAGTTGGGATTTTTTTGTTTTCCATTTTTTTCTTCTTTTTTATACATATTTTGGGCCAAAAACATAGAATTTTAGGTGATTTTGAGAATTGGACATAACTTCTTTAATAATTGTCAGATTTACTTCCAATTTAATACAAACCTTCAGTATACACTGTACTTCAACATATATTACAGGTTTCTTGCTCAAATGACCATATCAATTTTTGGGGATTTTTTGTGTTTTTTGGCCAGCTAATGTTAAATTTTTGTTTTTAGCTCAGTAGGTAAATTCGGTTTACAAACAGAGATTTGAAATGCTTGGATCCATTTGTATTGCGGGTTGGAAACAGAGATTTCAAATGCTTGGCTCCATTTCTTGGGCAGAAAACTTAGAATTTTGGGTGATTTTTATAATTGGACATAATTTTTTTACTAATTGTCAGATTTACTTTGATTTTTATACCCACCTTAAGTATTTACAGTTATTAAGCATATTTACTTTCAGAAACACTTCATTGCACATATTTAACAGTGCATATTAGCTACACCCATAAATGCATCCATCTCAGTTTTCATGTATGCATGTGATAAAGGCGGAATATATGTACCAGTACCACTTTATTGTTTTCGAGAAAATGCTGTCTTACTCATTAAATTCAGTGGTAGAACCTGACATGTACGCATGTGATAAAAGCGGAATATATGTACCGGTACCACTTAATTGTTTTCGAGAAAATGCCGTTTACTCATTAAATCCAGCGGTAAAACCCGACAGTACGCATGTGATAAAAGCGGAATATATGTACCGGTACCACTTTATTGTTTTCGAGAAAATGCCGTCTTACTCATTAAATCCAGGGGTAAAACCTGTATTCGCAGCTTACCACATGGTTATGAAGATTCTCCTCTCTGACGGAATTTATTTTAAAATGCTATAAGCATAAATTGTGTGTGAAAACACAAAGCAGGTAACGGCGAGACATATAATTACACGTAATTCTTGTTGTAATATGATGATAGTTTTTCATCCAAGGAAATAAGTGTTCTTTTTTCAATTCTTATGAATATAAAATTTTACTAGATATATATGATACTTTGACTTTGCTTTGTTTTGAGATTATGAATTTCAATACAGCAGGACCCAGTTATCATGACAAGGCTTCAAATTAGCTATCAACTATTAAAGCATTTTTTTTCTTCAGAATATTAGCCAAAATACAAATATTAGGGCACTGGACAATTTCCAAACAATCATGATAGGATGAGTTAAATATTTAATACCACAATATAAAATGAAATGATCCTGAAGGCATCCACAGGGTACATTATAATTTATTTAATAATTTCTTGCAAACCCATTGGCTGGATCCTATACACGTGACCAGTTCTCAAAAACTCGGACAATATCACTTTTTCAGGTTCATATTAACATCATATGCACATTCCCAAAAGTCCGTAACTGTATACTATCGCATGTTTTAACATGATTTTAACAATGACAAACAATCATGAACCAGTTAAAGGATAAATTAGAAATATTTGGAAGTGTTATGAAAATTGGTTTAAACTTAAATGTATTTGGAAAAAAAATCAGGGATTGACATCAAAACTCTTTAGCCTTAGACACCCAACAGCATTATGATGTCACAAACAATTCAGATTTCAAATTTCAAGTCAGTCTGAGAAAATTAGGTTTTCGTGATTTCTGTTTAAATGACAAACAGAATCTTACATAAACTTCCGTTTCATATAAAATTTATGAAATATTTCTCAACTCTTCAGATTTTGAATTTGATAAGATGTACAGCAACAATACAAATGCTTCAAATTAAAATCAACATATCACAAAATAAAAAAAAAAATAAAAAAAATAATCCATGACCCGAAGGGTAGGTTCAGCGGAAGTAGAGTTTCTTCCTTAGCGTAACCAGGGGAGCTGGAATCTGTTTGTACTGCCCTCCATCAATATTGGCTATGGCGTTCCCCACCTCCTCATTCACCTTCACCAACACACTCAGCAGGTCGTACCTATAACAAAACCATGTGTTAGAAACTTCTATTTTTTTTTCATTCTTGTACGTACATCTATACATTTGTATCCTGGGATACATTCACTGAAGAAATGCTATGGAAACATTGATAATTCACAAACGTAAGGCAAAGTACATTTGGTTAAAAATAACCGATGCTTAACTCTCCTTCCTGTCAATCAAATTTATTGACTTTACTCCCTGATTCTACAACATGCCACAGTAATACAGTTTATAATTGATGGTTTAGATTGGTTTGATAATTTTCCAGGATGTTTTCAATGCTGCAGTTATCAGACACACATATGTAAATACAGTGGCTGATCCAGAGACCTATCTGGTTTTTGTCTTATTTTTCGGGGGGGTGGGGCCAAAAACCCCTCTGGATCCGCCACTGAACTATGGAAACTTTGACAGATCAATTCAAATGTCTTAGACATTGGTTTTGGTGACTGATTAATTGTCTTAGACATTGGTTTTGGTGACTGATTAATTGTCTTAGACATTGGTTTTGGTGACTGATTAATTGTCTTAGACACTTGTTTTTGGTGAATGATTAAGTGTCTTACACACGTTATTTTGGTGAATGATAAAGTGTCTTAGACACTTGTTTTTGGTGAATGATTAAGTGTCTTACACACGTTATTTTGGTGAATGATAAAGTGTCTTAGACACTTGTTTTTGGTGAATGATTAAGTGTCTTACACACGTTATTTTGGTGAATGATAAAGTGTCTTAGACACTTGTTTTTGGTGAATGATTAAGTGTCTTACACACGTTATTTTGGTGAATGATAAAGTGTCTTAGACACTTGTTTTTGGTGAATGATTAATCTTTAGTGTCTTAGACATAGGTTTTTGTGACTGACCAATTCAAAAGTCTTAGACACATGTTTCAGGTTTAGATACATATTTGACATTAGATATGAAGCTACCAACCTGTAGGCATATTTGTCGAGCATGTCAACAAGTTTGTTGATGAACCAGCTGCCCTGGCTCCGACTCCGGTAGGACACATAACCTGGTACAGTTGCATACCCGAGAATAAAATCTGCCTCATCCGGAATCATCTCTCGTCCATTAATGTCGACCATTAAGTCTCGTCTTTCTGGCTGATACATTGGTATTGGGGCAGTGTCTGCTTCAATGTCATAGCCTAATGAATAAGACAACAATATGTTTTAGAAAGCAGCATTAACTTTATCACACAATGTGCTGTGTTATCCAGTGAACATACCCATATCATATTCTTTTGCGTATTAACCCATGTAATATGACCTATCAGCCCCATGATTGGTTACAAGTTTCAATTGTTTCAATTGTGACGTCACGCTTAGGACAAGAACATGACGTCACAGACTTAAGCACTGGAGTCAAAATGGCGACTTTTTACATTTCAAGGTTACATGAAAATTGTCGTTTTACACGAATAAATGCCACAAATCTTGATTATGTGATAAAAAGGATCTTACACTCGTTGTCATTTCATATGAAATTTATGAAACTCATCACGAATTTTTCAATTCAGCTCGCCAGAGGCTCGCTAAATTGAAAACTTCTTAAGACTCATTTCAATAATCTTATATGAAATGGAAACTTGTGTAAGATCCTATAGGTATTTGTAATTTTCTTCTCCAGAACTTCTTGATACATATTGACTGGGTACTGAACCAGTCTAGACTTGTCATACACTTGATTAGCCTTATTTTCATGTCTATTATTATTTTTTCATATTATTCCCGACAAGTGATTGGCCAGGAGTGTATCACATGTCCACCGATAAAAACCGATATTGACTTGGAGCGCATGATTTTTGTTGAAGACTGAATACACTAATTTGTTTTATTTTTAGCGATTAGTACATTAAAGGAACATCACGTGAAGTGCCATAGTTTTTGTAATGAATGTATGTGTTGTATGCACTTCCACTTATGTTATCTCGCTATCCCCATATTCATAGTCCATTCCAAATGTCCAGTTTGACCGCTTGAATTATTCCGGAAATCCCGCTAAAAATAGCGCCGATAACGTCACCTGACTAGGCAGTAAACACAAGTGTCTGAGCGAGATGAAACAGTTTCCAAAGGGGTCCCAGAGAGGGGACTTTGGGCAACTGCAACTTCTTACCGCACAATGAAACCAAGCAACATGATTTCTAAGTCGGTATTCATCATCAGAAGTTAATTGCACACTTGTCAATATTCAGAATTAAAATTTATTTAGCTTTAAACATATTTGTTACCAATAAAATTGAACAAGGGATGGGGCACAACTTTTTACAATTTATCACAGCCTTCTCATACATTTACAATTAAATGTCAACACAATCTGAATAAATACAGCTGTTCATTATCACGTTAATAGCTTTTTTTTATTAACATCTGATTTTAATGAGATTGATGTCAACAATGATAATAGGCATAAACATAAAGTAGATACATTTAAATATATATTGAATTTAGTACCTGAATGTGGCCGGTACAGATGGTACGGGGCTAAACACCTTATAATTATGTGTCAGATATGGAACATGTTGAGATACTTGATAATTATATTTTTTCAATACTTTACATAGATTTAAGCATTCTTGTAAATGTACCCTTTTTTATGTTGAGACAACTTTTCTTTAATCATTTCATTTTTGTCCGAAACAGAAGCTGTAGTTATCAGCAACTCGCATCATTTTTACAACGTAAACAAATATTTTTTCCCCTGTTTTCAATATGTATTCCGATTCTATCTGAAGTCGAAAATTTATTCTTTATAGAGAAAATGTTGTTACATGATCATACATTCTAAGTCAACATCAAATAAAAACATGAAGTGTTGAAAAATTACGATTTAAAAAATAAATGTTATGCGATCCTATTTATTATAAGTAGGTTTTCCTTCCTCAGTTATTCATCCTGAACCGTCACAACAGTTATCCCTTGGAGGGCCTCATGGCAAAATCAAACTAACCAGTCACTTATCCCTTCCTTTCACATAAACCACTGTATAATTATAGAAACACAAAGTAAACTGTCTCTGATACATGCCCATTAACATATTAAACTAAGTTCATCTGTGTTCAAACTCAGACAAAGATACTAGCGAGGTTAATAGTTTTAGATATTTTTTCATAACATAAAGAGCGCTAGCATTTCTGTCGATTCCATTTCAGCTGAACTGGCTACCGGAAGAATACATGCACCGTACTAACTGCTAGGGCAGTTATTTTCTCCTTGAATACTTCCCACCTGCAATAATGATTCTGTAACGTACCCCTTGCGCTATCTTTTGACCATTTGACAACTTTTCGCTTCGTAGCTGAAACGGTACAACACTTTTCTTTCGCTTACTTCACACGGCCAGTCATTTTGTTTACAAAGAAATTGTGTGCTATGCGCATGCACTAGTAGAGGGAAATCCCTGAACAAAAACGTTGGTCAGACAGGTAGAAATACTGATGATTTTCTTAGATTTAATCATTTTTATTAATCTATTTCAGCCAAATCTGATCGTTATTTTCCATAAGGAGTCTCACTTGATATGTTTATGCATTATTTGAAAAAAAGACAAAAATAGAAGTTACTTCACCGTGATGCCCCCTTAATTCTGAATACACTAATTTGTTTTATATTTAGTGATTGGCTTAATTCTATGTTTTCACATTAACACAGAAAGCTCAAAAATATAGTAATAGCTAAAATAATTAACAGTATATGATGCCATTTGAATAAATTTCTTTGATTTTTGTGACATATACCTACTTAAGATCTCATTTGGGGTAAACCCGTAGAATTCTGAAAAATTTATTATGATTTTTTGTTTTTAATCAAAATGTATTTTGAGAGATCTCACCTCCTTGTTTGTCCCTTCCCTGACAGGCCTGGATAAAGAACAGCTTTGGTTTCCCAGCTAGAGATGGACACACCTGAGCCCGGAAAAATCCTGTCAATATATCAATCCTCACCATCTTTCCATTACTTCCAAAGATGTGTCCTGAAGCCCCGTGGGTCAAAATACAGCAGACAAAGCAATCGAAATCATTGTGATTACGATAACCTACGCCGCTCAGCAGCTGAGCCATCTCAATATCGGTCTGATTGTTGTATGTTTCAACTCTAAAGTCAAGCTTTCGGAAAACGGTAGTCAATCTCTCTGTTAAAGAAAAAAGGTGTTTTTTTCATATTTACAGATATTTAATGTGTAGCTTCCACATCAAACAGCAAATATGCTCATATTAGCATTGATAGCAGCTACATCAACATTTCATGAGTTTAATATTCACGGTTTCGCCAGCAAAACTTAAAATTGAAGTCCCTCAAGGCATATCTGACTATTCTGTATAGTGTAAGAGAACATTCCTGTAGACACATTTGAACTCTTCCAATTCATTGTTTGGAATAGTTCATTATAAAATTTCAGGGGTGAATGAGTTAAACTGATCACAGCGTATCAGTTTTTGCATTGGCAGTGGTTCTGAAATTTATGCACTCTTTTTATCGATAATTGAAAAACAAACAAGGCTCACAAGTGATACAAAGACCCTCACATTCACACATTGTTGCATATGTAAGAGGAAATAAAGTGGCTAGAGCTATGACAAAGTTATTTCTAAACATAGTATCAGTGACCTTGACTATGAGAACTTAGTGAAGGCATTGCCATACCAAACACTTGTATGAAGTTTCATGAAATTCCGTTCATTAATGAGGTGGCTAGGGTGATAACAATTTTTTTTCTAAATATAGTATAAGTGACCTTGACCTTCAACATAGAAACCCGAAATGCAAATTTGTTCAAGGTATTGCCATACTAAACACTTGTATGAAATTCTGTTGAGGAATGAAGTTGCTAGAGCGATGACAAAGAGTGTAACATATGTACGGGCGGAATCCTATATACCCTCAAACTTTTGTTGTGAGGGATAATAATAGTGTGTGGATATTTTCCCCCTAGTATACTCAGTGCGAAAAAAATGCTAGCAATTTCTATACTGCCAATTTTTTTTATATTTCTGGATGAGTGGTGCATGGAGTTCATTTGCTATGTAATATATAGAGAATAATACATGCCTTTTTCCATATCACACCAAGTATCAACCCGAGACTACAATATCAGCCCAAGGGCCCCAGGCCCGAGGGCTGATATTGGTCGAGGGTTGATACTTGGTGTGATATGGAAAAAGGTGTGTTTTATTCTGTTTATTACATACTTACTAATACAAACTACTATCTTATGATTTATTTTTAATTTTGAAATATTGAAAAACGATTTTTTTTCCCAAGGGGGTGTGATATGGGTTTTGCAGGCTGATACAGGTTTTTGGGTGTGATACGGTGGGGGCTGATACGGGTTTTGGGGTGTGATACGGCAAGGGCTGATATGGGTTAGAGCAATTGTGTCGTATCGCATATCCAAAAAAAAACGTATTTATTAGTAAGTATGTCATAATATCTGGAACATGTTTGAAAATACAGTAACCATACATGTAAATGGCTATAACTACAAAGCACAAACACTCTAACCTGCGTCTCTGTGTGTCCCGATGCGGTCTGGCATTTCCTTGCTGCAGTCATCACCTGGTACCTTGTAAAATTTCTCGTTGTTGATGATCACACAAACACCTACAAATAAAATAAAACACAGGTAAAGAATACATCATGTCAGATCCTTCAGCTACCTTATTGTCTTTATCAACTCTATTCCGACAAGCCGTGTTATTATACAGTTAAAGTATGGGGTTGATGGATATAGCAAGTTTCTGGTGTCCCGAGACCAGGTATATTTCCCGAGGCGAAGCCAAGGGAAATAGGCATGGTCAAGTATGGGGTTGATGGATATAGCAAGTTTCTGGTGTCCCCAGACCAGGTATATTTCCCGAGGCGAAGCCGAGGGAAATAGGCATGGTCAAGGGACACCAGAAACTTGCTATATCCATCAACCCCATACTTTAACCGTTTTATTAAACCGATACACATTGCAAAGATAGTTTAAACTTGAAAATATTTGTAAACCATAAGCTGTATATCCCAACTACCCCTTTGATCGCATGGAGCCAAATGCTTCCGAGTTCAGTAGCAAGCTCCGCCCACCTCAGGCGTCGCTTCCGAGTTCAGTAGCAAGCTCCGCCCACCTCTCACCTGATTGGCTTGGCGGACACACGAGTGTAGGTGTGTTTTAGTTCCCAGACTAACACACAGGACTTAAACACAGTCAGGCAAAAGTGGGGATATATTCGATTTAACCAATTACTTTTATATAGAGTAAATCAAGTAGAGGTATATTAATAATAAGTATTAACAGATTAGACGCTAACTTTTTTGGCTTTGTATAGTCCACAGGATTTGTTAAATAGATTAGTTGGTAGCCCTACATCAATGATACTAGTTTAGGACCTGTATCCATTAAATCATTCTCATTCACAAGCATGGGTTCTATGCTCCAACCCACTTTCTTTTTAACTTCCTCACATCTCGTGACTTTGTCAAAATGTCAAAGTGTAAACATTGAAAACAGTATTCCGCTATATTTACATATGCCCTTCCCATTTTCCATTAGCTCCATTGAAAGTCAGCCTTCAGTAACTGGACAATTATGTCTCTCAAAAATTCTTCAAAATCACTGACGAAATGTGAAATTTTATTAATTTACTACAGAAACACAAAGTTTTGTTAAAGGAGGGAACCGGAGTTTGTACACAAGGACGGCTTCATGACTACAGGCGTGGGACTTTCTGAGGTAAGATCCTAAACATGAAATAGAAAAACTATTGAATCGAATGTAGGTGACATGAAACTTCCTATTGGAATGAGAATACTGTAAGGTAAAATCCAAGTAAAATATTTTGACATTAACTATGCAAGATTCTCATACTAAGCTTTTTTCAGTTAAGGACAAGTTAGGTTATTTACTATTTGTCCCTGCCAAAAAATACTAGCTTCCAACTAAAGAAAATGTGTCCTTAACAGTCACCTGAGTTGTAATGCTATTGTTAGTTGTTGTTGTGAAAAAAGGTACATACAATCCTTGAAGAGCAAATAAAATATACTTTATTACCCCCCCNCTAAAAATTATAGCCAATTTGACAGCACTTGGGGGTTTGGATCTATATGATTCACAATTTTAGAATTGGATCGGCTACAGAATCTTCCTGCAGTATTCTAATGAAATCTGTTCAGTAGTTTTGGAGAAAAAGTTTAAGTTAAATCTGAATTGTTTACAGAAGGTCAATTCATCATCACACATAAAGGGATCACAATGGGTCAACTGAGAATTTTTCTTTAGGTACGGCATACTGGGAAAATTTTGCCCAGTCCAGCTTTCACTCTTCGCCTATGAAATCAATTTGTGTAAGTTTCCCCCAAACCCTTCACATTTAATTACGATGTATATTATGATGTTTACTTACATTCTAAATTCAAAATTTGCCCTCATTAGAGACAGTGAAAAAGATGAAAATGAAATTGTGGCGAAAAATCCTCGACATAGATAATTTGTATTTTTACCTGTAAAAAGTCTATAAGCACCATTACATTTCTACACACATTATCTATCGAGACACATTTGAAACCCTTTTTTTTCAATCAATTGAGGTGAAATTTCTTGGAAAAAAACCTGCAGCGAAAATCCCCGATATACAGTATTTGTGTTTTATACCTACTAGTATACAAAATCTGGCTTTAAGCACCATTACATTTCTACATACAATATTCATGGAAACACATTTGAAACCCTTTTTTCAATCAATCGAGGAGAATTTCTTGGAAAAAAACTTTTTTTTTCTTTTCTTTTCTAAAAATAATCGTATGCAGTACCTCTTGGTTTTGCATCCATTTTGTAGCTAGGTAGATCCAGCTCATTGTCAATATTGACACGCTGGGTTTGGCGTACTAGCTCGTTGTCCTGTCTCTGTTGTTCTGTCTCATTTCTTTCTGCTCTGGGTAGTTGAACAGCTCCAGGCATTCTGCCATCAACTGAAAAACAGAGAAAATTGAGTAAACAGTTGTTTACAAATAAATGGCATATGACAAGGTATAAAAGAGAATGTAAATGAAAGAGGAGAAAAATTGCCAGGCTAGGGTTTTACATGTAATCTCTAGTAGACCTCTTACTTTTTGGATTATAATGATAATAATAATTCAAGGTACTTATATACCACTTTATCACAACCTAGTTTGTAGGTCGTCTCAAAGCGGTTCACAAATTATTATCCACGGTTATAGGGCCTTTGCAACCAGCCAATATCTTTCTCATCTGCCTGGAGAGTATACAGCCGGTGCTGCCATTTTGGCACTCACAGCTAGCATTCAACAATTCCAGCACTGTCCAACCACATACTCATTTACAGCTGTGTAGACTGGAACAAGAATACAACACAGTGCCCTGATGTGACTCTAACCTGCAACCCCACGGTCACGAGCCAGGTGGCCTAAGACTAGACTACTGTGCCTCCAAAAGAACAACACCATCTGAATGCTTGTATTTCAATTGTGTCTGAGAAATTACCATAAAAAAATGTATATGTACCAGGAAAATTTCGCCCTTCACCATTAAAATCTTTACAGACCTTATATATAAGTGTTGATTTCACCCTCTGCAAGTTATTGCTATATATGTTACAGACCTTATATATAAGTGTTGATTTCACCCTCTGCAAGTTATTGCTATATATGTTATAATGTGAACTGTTATTTACTCCAATGATTTTCCCCTTATCATATGAAGGTGAAAGTTAAAATGCATCAAACATTTCCTGGTACACAGCATTTTGTGATATATCTGAATTCGTGATTGTTTCCCCTTACAAAGTAACTCAAAAATATCGGTGACTTACAGTAATAGTTCTAGACTAGCTTTCTTTAATGGATTGACCACAAGTAGCCAATACCTGCCTGCTTGATTATTACATTAATTAACCACAGACTGACCAGCATCTACCAGCTTGACAACAATATTGAATGACCACAGAATTCAGTACCTACAGATGTGTTTGACCTCTGTTTTGATTGACCATAGACTGTCAGTATCTATCTGCTTGACCATTGTACTGATTGACTATAGTAACCAGTACCTATACCTTCTTGACCAATGTATTGATTATGCATAGGCTGTCAGTACTGTACCTGCCTGCATTGTATTGATTGAGTATAGCACTTACTATGCTTACCCATGGCATTGTTTGACCATACAGTGACCAAACCTGCCTGTTTGACCATTGTACTGATTGACCACAGAGTGACCAAACCTACCTGTATGACTAGTGTATTGATTGACCACAGATTGACCAAACCTACCTGCATGACTAGTGTATTGATTGACCACAGAGTGACCAAACCTACCTGTATGACTAGTATATTGATTGACCACAGAGTGACCAAACCTGCCTGTATAACTAGTGTATTGATTGACCACAGAGTGACCAAACCTACCTGTATGACTAGAGTTTTGATTGACCACATATTGACCAAACCTACCTGTATGACTAGTGTATTGATTGACCACAGAGTGTACAAACCTACCTGTATGACTAGAGTTTTGATTGACCACATATTGACCAAACCTACCTGTATGACTAGTGTATTGATTGACCACTGAGTGACCAAACCTATCTGTATGACTAGTGTATTGATTGACCAGATTGACCAAAACTACCTGTATGACTAGTGTATTGATTGATCACAGATTGACCAAACCTACCTGTATGACCATTGTACTGATTGACCAGATTAACATAACCTACCTGTATGACTAGTGTATTGAGTGACCACAGAGTGACCAAACCTACCTGCATGACTAGTGTATTGATTGACCAAAGAGTAACCAAACCTACCTGTATGACCATTGTACTGATTGACCAGATTGACATAACCTACCTGTATCACTAGTGTATTGATTGACCACAGAGTGACAAACCCTACCTGTATGACTAGTGTATTGATTAACCACAGAGTGACCAAACCTACCTGTTTCACCAGTGTATTGTTTGACCACTGAGTGACCAAAACTACCTGTATGACTAGAGTATTGATTGACCACATATTAACCAAACCTGCCTGTTTCACCATTGTATTGTTTGCCCACTGGGTGACCAAACCTGCCTGTATGACTATGCTAGTGTATTGATTGACCACTTAGTGACCAAACCTATCTGTATGACTAGTGTATTGATTGACCAGATTGACCAACCCTACCTGAGTGACCAAACCTACCTGTATGACTAGGGTATTGATTGACCGGACTGACCAAACCTACCTGTATGACTAGTGCATTGATTAACCACATATTGACCAAACCTACCTGTATGACTAGTGCATTGATTAACCACATATTGACCAAACCTGCCTGTTTCACAATTGTATTGTTTGACCACTGAGGGACGAAACCTGCCTGTATGACTATGCTAGTGTATTGATTGACCACTGAGTGACCAAACCTACCTGCATTACTAGTGCATTGATTGACTACAGAGTGACCAAACCTACCTGTATGGCTAGTGTATTGATTGACCACTGAGTGACCAAACCTACCTGCATTACTAGTGCATTGATTGACTACAGAGTGACCAAACCTACCTGTATGGCTAGTGTCTTGATTGACCACAGATTGACCAACCCTGCCTGTTTCACCATTGTATTGTTTGACCCCTGAGTGACCAAACCTGCCTGTATGACTATGCTAGTGTATTGATTGACCACTGAGTGACCAACCCTATCTGTATGACTAGAGTATTGATTGACCACTGGGTGACCAAATCTACCTGTATGACTAGAGTATTGATTGACTACATATTGACCAAACCTGCCTGTTTCACCATTGTATTGTTTGCCCACTGGGTGACCAAACCTGCCTGTATGACTATGCTAGTGTATTGATTGACCACTTAGTGACCAAACCTATCTGTATGACTAGAGTATTGATTGACCACATCACAGAGTGACCAAACCTACCTGTATGATTAGAGTATTGATTGACCACATATTGACCAAAAACCTACCTGTATGACTAGTGTATTGATTAACCACAGAGTGACCAAACCTACCTATATGACTAGTGGATTGATTGATCACAGATTGACCAAACCTACCTGTATGACCATTGTACTGATTGACCAGATTGACATAACCTACCTGTATGACTAGTGTATTGATTCACCACTGAGTGACCAAACCTATCTGTATGTCTAGAGTATTGATTGACCACATATTGACCAAACCTACCTGTATGACTAGTGGATTGATTGACCACAGAGAGACCAAACCTACCTGTATGACTAGTGTATCCTGCATTACTAGTGCATTGATTGACTACAGAGTGACCAAACCTACCTGTATGGCTAGTGTCTTGATTGACCACAGATTGACCAACCCTGCCTGTTTCACCATTGTATTGTTTGACCACAGAGTGACCAAACCTACCTGCATGACTAGTGTATTGATTGACCAGATTGACCAACCCTACCTGAGTGACCAAACCTACCTGTATGACTAGGGTATTGATTGACCACAGAGTGACCAAACTTACCTGTATGACTAGTGTATTGATTGACAACAGAGTGACCAAACCTGACTGTTAGACCATTGTATTGATTGACCACAGATTGCCAAAACCTGCCTGTATGACTAGTGTATTGATTGACCACAGAGTGACCAAACCTACCTGTATGACTTAGTGTATTGATTAACTACAGAGTGACCAAACCTACCTGTATGACTAGTGTATTGATTGACCAAAGAGTGACCAAACCTACCTGTATGACCATTGTACTGATTGACCAGATTGACATAACCTACCTGTATGACTAGTGTATTGATTGACCACAGAGTGACCACAGAGTGACCAAACCTACCTGTATGACCATTGTACTGATTGACCAGATTAACATAACCTACCTGTATGACTAGTGTATTGATTGACCAGATTGACCAAACCTACCTGTATGACTAGTGTATTGATTGATCAGATTGACCAAACCTACCGGTATGACTAGTGTATTGATTGACCACAGAGTGACCAAACCTGACTGTTTGACTAGTGTATTGATTGACCAGATTGACCAAACCTCCCTGTATGACTAGTGTATTGATTGACCAGATTGACCAAGCCTGCCTGTATGACTAGTGTATTGATTGACCACAGAGTAACCAAACCTACCTGTATGACTAGTGTATTGATTGACCAGATTGACCAAACCTGCCTGTATGACTAGTGTATTGATTGACCCCAGAGTGACCAAACCTGCCTGTTTGATCATTGAATTGATTGACCACAGATTGACCAAACCTACCTGTATAATTAGTGTATTGATTGACCACAGAGTGACCAAACTTACCTGTATGACTAGTGTATTGATTGACCACAGAGTAACCAAACTTACCTGTATGACTAGTATATTGATTGACCACGGAGTGACCATACCTGCCTGTTTGACTCATGTATTGATTGACCACAGGTTGACCAAACCTACCTGTATGACTAGTGTATTGATTGACCACAGAGTAACCAAACCTACCTGTTTGACCATTGTATTGATTGACCACAGAGTGACCAAACCTGCCTGTTTGATCATTGAATTGATTGACCACAGATTGACCAAACCTACCTGTATGACTAGTGTATTGATTGACCACAGAGTGACCAAACTTACCTGTATGACTAGTGTATTGATTGACCACAGAGTGACCATACCTGCCTGTTTGACTCGTGTATTAATTGACAACGGAGTGACCAAACCTACCTTTATTATTAGTGTATGGACCACCCATTTGTTGATTTGTTGTTGTTGGATTTGGTGGCCCGACAATGGAAATCTGCGCTTCTCCTGAAATATTTTTACAAAACCAACATTTAACTAGAAATTGTTGGCTAACAATTTGACGGGCTTTTCAGTGTAAGGACTGATTTGGCCTTCTAACAATAACCTGTGCAAGTCTACAGTAGCTGGCTGAGAAGTGGGGGATTCCCGGAGTGCGACATGACGTCAGAGAAAGTACGGATAAATAACGGCAGCCAATGGGCGGTGTCATGTAGACGAAGGTAGTCCGTAAGAGTCATATAGTCCGTCCACTATGTACATCAGGATGATGAATTTAGACTAGCTTTTTGTCTATCGATCAGGTTTGCCATGCCAATGAAAGGCTGATGTTTACCCACTGCAGTAGAGATGTAAACTGTCCACACTTTTAAGATTGAGAGTGCGTAGTAATCGATGTAGTATTACCAGCATGTATTAGATGTCTTGGTACAAATCAAAGTACTGAGAGTACTCAAAGCACTTGACAATCGCACAAAAATGAAAACGGTTTTTGACTTTCACCTTTGAAATGATATTTGGAGTAGGTCAATGTCGTTCATTTGCACACACTTTAAAGCCCTTCATTCAAGCATGCTTCTTTGACAAACATTATTGTTACCCTGGAGATATTGGTTATTCAGAAAAAGTGGTTTCAATATTTTTACAAATATGACCTCTGTGAGACCTTGAAAGTCATTCAAGGTCAATCATTTTTTCAAACTTGATAGTCAATCATCTGACCATGTTAATGTATCAAATAGTAGGACTCTAGGCCTTGTAGAACTTTAGAAGAAGTTTTTTGAAGTCATTATCTTGAAATAGCACATATGAAGTTTGTGACCTTGATTGTGACCTTGATAGTTGATCAATGTCAACCATTTTTTCAAACCTGATACCCCGACATCTCAGAATCTTTATTATTAAATATCAAGACTCTAGACCTTGTGGAACTTAAGAAGAAGATTTTTTAAGGTTGGTACCCAATATAGAGCCTTTTAACTTTGACCCCTGCCGGAAACCGGAAGTTGACATTTTTTGTTAAAACAGTATGAACAAAAAAGTTTGCCCTTGACTATCTCTATATGATATCCAAAGAAAAACCTCGTGTTTGATATCGTTAACGAAATATATTGGTATAGGCTGTTAACCAATCAGAGTTTGTGGCGGCCATCTTGGAATATTAATGGCTCCAAAAAGTAACATAAGTTGGTAAGGGCCCCTAGAGGAATACATGTATTAATTGTGGTTAATATTGCAATGGCAGAATTGGAGAAGAAGATCGTTGAAATTTTAACATATTGTCAGCATTTTAAAAGATCAAAGGAAATATTCAAAATGGCGTACAACGTTAACGGTAAATGTTACAGAAAAACTAAAGACATCAAATTCATCGGAATGACATTCTTCATCGATCTATTGAAGAATTCTTTAGTAAAAATGAAAAATGAATATTTTGTAAAAATTGTGACCTTTGACCCAACAGCGAACTTTTTCATTTGACCTTTTAAGTAATAATATACGATGGAAAAAAGTTAGCCCTGAACTTTATCTACAAATGATGTCCGAACTTAAAGGCTGTAAATTCAACTGTGTTTGAGTTATAGCCATTTTAAGATTTTTAAGATATGACGTCATGGCAGCCATTTTAATTTTTCAAAGAAGTTGATTTTTTTTTTAAATGTAAGAGAATATCTGGGGAAACCTTTTTCATAACAAATAAACGAAATATTTGTCATTGATATTGGAGTAAAACAAGTTTTAAAATATTGCAAATTTTTTAAAAGATCAAAGGAAATATTCAAAATGGCGTACAACGTTCACGGTAAATGTTCCAGAAAAACTAAAGACATTAAATTCATCGGAATGGCATTCTGCATTGATCTATAGAAGCATTTAAAAAAAAAAAAAAGTGATGGTTTTAAAACAAGAGGCCCATAGGCCTTAACGGTCACCTGATATATTTATACAGAGAGTTGATTTCGTTTTTAACATGAACAGAAATATTATTCAAAGTGACAAAAAACAATAAAACCACCTTATTCAATTTCAAGCATACAGATTTCAGACTAAAAAGGATTTGAAACTAGCACCTCTGATTCTAAACAAGGAAAATGAAGAAATTTTAGCACACTGACTCCCTTGAGCCCCACCCTACAGCCCTTGGGGGTAGGGCTGGCTCAAAATTTTCAAAGTATCAAACTGTCAACTCAAGGTTATAATTCCAATCAAGTTATTAACATGTAATATTCAAAGTATCATTTGCCATTATAAACCATAATA